GACAAGGGCAGGGACAAAAGGCCTGACCAAGGGGGCCGCCCAGAACAATCAAGCCATGAGGAGAAGGGCAGAGACAAAAGGCCTGACAAAGGGAGCCGTCCAGAACATGCAAACAATGAGGAGAAGGGCAGATGGTTAGGTGGTAGGGGGTGGGGCGACAAAATGCCTGACCGAGGGGGCCGTCCGGAACACGCAAGCCATGAAGACAAGGGCAGGAACAAAAGACCTGACCGAGGGGGCCGTCCAGAACATGCAAGCCATGATAACAAGGGCAGGGACAAAAGGCCTGATCGAGGGGGCCGTCCGGAACACGCAAGCCATGAAGACAAGGGCTGGAACAAAAGGCCTGACCGAGGGGGCCGCCCAGAGAATGGAAGCCATGAAGACAAGGGCAGGGACAAAAGGCCTGAGGGCCGCCCTGAGTTCCCCTACCGTGGCTTTGTAAAAATACCCACCTCTATTTATCCTATCTGTCCCTTCCTTCCACCATGTCTCTGCCAGGGCCCTTCAGACCATGTACCCCCTCCTCCTCCCCCTCCTCCTACTCAGTAACTAACACTAAAATCTGCCGAGGAACTCTTAACATTCAAATCTGAACAACGTGAGAATGTTCAGTCCAATAAATATTCTTTACTGACCTGTGTGGTTGATTGATAATGCTCTCAAAACATAACTGAATAGGTATATGTATATAGTAAGGTATAGCTACTAGGTATATGTATATACTCATGTATAACTGTAAATAAAAGTGGGGATACCCAAAAAAGAAATTGCCAAGAACAATGTAACAAAACACAAGATGTGAAAACATCAACCAACATACATTGAGTGGGCTCATATCATGAGCAATCCAATTTTCGTTAATCATCAAGCTATCTTATCTCAAAAGATCAAGAAAACATACTGTAACTTTTGTCCTTAGTCCAAAAAGACCATTTGCTGTAGTGATAAACACATCAATACACAATCAGCCACACTTACAGTCACAAAGATAAAGCAGAATGGATGCTATTATTCTTTAATATCTAGCTGTTAACCACAACTTTAGAAACAAGTGGCTGAAGTTTATTTTTAAAAGATCTGATTTCAATCTGGGGCCGGTTGCATAAAAGGTTTAGACTAGTTTTAAAAGTTAGTCATCTTTTTTTGTTTTTTATTTTAAGACTGGTCATATTTTTTTTGCTTTATGCAGCTGGCCCCTGATCTTAACAGTAATGATGTAATTCAATGTGAGTAGCACATTTCGGTGTGCATTGTCACAATATAACAGACATTGCCACATACTTAAGTGTGGTTCAGTTAAAAACTATATTAGACAGAAAACTTAACAATGTACTATATAATATAGAACTTTGAGATCAGCACAGCTCATGTGAAAGGGATGTTTCTTAAAGGCACAGCAGAAAACAAACCTGTTCATTTTTGTTTACATTTTCTTCACATTACACATTGACTTAACAATATGTCATTTCATGTCATGTCATATCATATCATGTAATATCACGTGATGTCACATCACATGCCACAATATCACGCGACCCTTTTAATCACAAAATGCTGTGTTCACAACATCTCTACAACAGTAACAACAGCATGATAATGATCTTGCAGCTGCAAGTATCACAGTCCACAAATCACTGTGACAATGTTATGTTTACATGGAAGAGTAAAAAAAACAAGCAAAGTTTAGGAATCAATACACATATGAATATAGGTTTGTTTTCCCATTGGATGGTTTCATGTTGTCTTAGAAAGAAGATTAGTTGATCTAAAAAAAAAGAATCAGAAGACAAGTTTTCAGGATTCATTCTTAGAAAACAGTGCCCTCGTGTTTTATTGTTTGGGGACCAAGTGTCATGTCCCAGGCAAGAAAAACGGGAGAAATGGTGAAATCCAAAATCTTGAAGAGTACCCAATATTGTTTTACTAAAAAAAAAAAAAAAAACAGTTCTGCATTTTAACAGCCTTTTCAGCTGACAGCCCCATGGACATTGCTAGGCCATTATGTACATGAACAGAGTTCACAGAGTGACCTGTCACCTGTACAAGTATAGCTGTACTGTGAGACTAGGTAATAACCAATCACCAGCCAGCTGGGTTTTATCATCATATGCTCACAGAAGGTAAATCCAATAAAGTGACCCTCTCTTGACAGTGCCTGCCTCCAAAATCAGAGAACAGTGCCCAGATTGCCCTGTACAGCTCCCTGAAGATCATGATTAATAAATAATATATTTTCTGTCTCATTCTGTGATAAGAAGCAACATGGAACCAAAGAGGCAAATTATTTCAAACACGACTGATGTTATAGTGATTTTGGAAAACTATATTAATTTCATAAATTGCCATGTTTGATGCTGTGATAAGCAAACATACAAGCTATTCCTGTTGCCAGGAGTAATTGTTTTATAAAAAAATTTGAAAAGTAAGTCCACGTAAGATTATGTGAATGTTTTTAAGAAGTGCAAAAGCAAAGAAGGGTAAGTGAAAGGTTTGATCAAAGAAATGAGGGATTAAAAAAATGGGGTATGGGTAAGGTTGGGCATCATTAGAATTTTAATGATTCTGATTCAGATTCTGCTTATCGATTCTGATTCTTATCTATTTCTAATTTTGATTCCAATAAGGTAAAGCAAACTAACAAAAAAAAAAAAAACCTGAATGCTTTAAAATCTTGTAAAATCACTTTTTCTGTGCGTGTGCTTTGGATGTGTGTGCAGTGCAGAAAAGAGAGCGTGAGTCTTCTTGTGCTTAAATGGTTTAAAGTCATGTTAAAATGTGCACAGAGGAATCGATAAGAGGAATCAAAATTTTAATTTTGTAACAAGTCAAGTCAAGTTACCCTTACCAAAAAGAAGTATACTTCAAGTTTATTTTAAGTGTACTTAAGTAAAGTTCAAGAATATTTTTTAAAGTATACTATATGTAGTAAGTATACAAATATCAATGTACTAGTAGTATACTTGTAAGTGTACTTTTTCAATACTCCTTGGGTCTAAATTGGAGATGGTCCTCACTGCAGAACACAAGATCCAGGGGGCGTGGTTGGATCCAGATCCAACTCCTTCCACCTTACATATATCTAAACCCACCCATCTCCACCCCCTGATCCCTGAAACCTACCAATCTTCACCCCCTAGATGTGGATCCAACCACGCTCCCTGGATCTTGTTTTCTGCAGTGAGGGGCTACTGCTAAATTGGCCCACTTTGTAGTATATAAATGTATACTTTTAAGTATACTTTAAGTATAACAGTAGTAAACTTTGAGTACACAACTAGTTTACATCTATGTTTTTAGTTTGTACTGCAACTATACTAAAAGTGAACTTATAGGTATACTGATAGTTTACTAATTAAATACTTGTAGCAGTTTTAGTACACCTTGAAGTATAGTCTCAGTAAACTACTAGTTTAGTATTATTATACTGCAAGTATTTTCATAAGTTTTCTTTAAAGGGTTCATATTATGTTGCTAAAAATAACATTATTTTGTGTATTTGATGTAATTAAATGCATTTTAAGGTTAAAAAAACACATTATTTTCCAAATGCTGTACATAATTTTTTCTCCTCCATGCCCCACCTTTCTGAAATGCATCGATTTTTACAAAGCTCATAGGTCTGAAAAGCGAGGTGTGCTCTGATTGGCCGAATACCTCAAGCGTGTGACGCAAATGTTACGCCCCTACCATACTGTGATGCCCTGTCCGGCCGGAGCGATGAGACAAAAACATTAAAACCCATTATAAACGAGGCATTTGTTGCATCCAGTGGGGACATAATTACGGATTATAATGACTTATACTGTCTTTTTACGCGTTGCGTTGCATCACGCCACGTAAACATAAAACCATGTCTGCATTTGTGATCGGAGAAATTACAAACAATAAGCGCTACTCTACACTGCTCAAAACTTGCGTTTGAATCATCAGTGGCAAATTCTTTAAAAATAAAAAACGTACTTACAGTCTGTGAGTCAGAACATAACATAACATTGTAGTCTACTCTACCAGGATCAGGAAACAGTCCTCCATAAAATGTGCTGCACACATCTGAATATTTGGGTTGAACTGTTCTGGAACAGTGTTGTAAATACTTAACCACTGATACTTAACTTAACTAAATACCTAACTTACTTAAACTTAACCACTGATTTCTAGTCGTGTCCTTTTTTGGAAGGCCAAACAAAGTAGTTTCGCTTTCACAACGAAACACACAGCGTCACACACTGCGGGCTTGAGTGAGCGGCAGCGGGCTGGCTTGAGAATGGCGCGGCCGACGGATTCGACGAAGGAGCGGCCGACGGACTTGTGGCAACCACATGTGACGATCCCGGGCTGGACTCTGCTTCGTCCACAGTGAAAGCCGATCCGGCGATCCACAGCGCGAAGTTGAGTTAAGCGTATTTCCTTAGTATTTCCTTAGCGACCTGCACGGATCAGCTCTAGGCATGACGAAGCGGATATCGTCCTATTTTGGAAGGCCAAACAAAGTAGTTTCGCTTTCACAACGAAACACATAGCGTCTTCACGACATGGCGGCAGCAACAATAATACAGTGAGAATAAAAGTTACACCTTCTTTCTTTGCGTAAACATTTGGGCGGCGTTAACGTAGACATGTGGGGGCGTGTTAGAACGAGCCGTTTTAGGAAAGCGTGGTTGACTCTTAACTTTTATAAAAAATATCTCTTTGGATTTGAGACTTTAGTCTTTGCAACTTTACAGATCTTTTTTTATGCACCAAGAGCTTGTAACACTCCAAAGAGAAAGGAAAAATTGAAATCGCATCATATGACCCCTTTAAGTGAACTTTACATCATACTTTATGTATACTACTATGTCCTGTAGCGTCTGGGCCAATCAGACACACAATTGTTTTAGTTATATTTAACAAATACTCTCTAACACCCCTCAGTCAACAAACCAACTATGAAGGTCTATGGACCCTTCCCCCGAAATGCATCTAACACCTTAGAAAGTCAGAACAGGCCTCTGGTTCCATGGCAACCAATGCTGATATCATTGGTTTTATTGCCCAAAGGAATGCGGGCAGAGAAACTCACCATTCATTTACCTTAAGGAAACACATAAAATGGACTAAATCATAGAAAAGCTTTTCCGTGAATGAACACACATCTCCTCAGGACATTGTGAATACCATTACTGTTCTTGTATATTGTCTTTTGAATTGTATACTGTTTTGTGTGTGTGTTAAGATAGATCACTAGTTAATATAACCCCACTGATACCATGTTTGGTCTCTTTGAATTTGTCTTCTGATGATCTAAATGAGAGTGTATATTATATGTTGGTACATAGGCAATATATTAGTGTTCTAAGAATCTTTGTTAATTTTGCAACATCAACACCCACTCGAGTTCCATATGCAAATTACCATGCTCTCACACAAAGGGTCATAAAACTCCCCAGTATTTCCAACCTCCCGTTTGGAATTTCAGCCTTTCTCATTGGACAAGCCCAGCCTGAGAGGCATGAATCTTCTCAGATCTTAAAAGGCTCACGCACAGTTCCGCCCATGTTGTTTGTTTT